TTTACTTCATAAAATTTGGGATTGACACAATATTTAGATATTTGCCAATATATTTTGTTTTTAAATATCCGTGTGACGAAAACAACATGGATGAATTGTTTTGTCACTCAACTTGCGGGACTTTCCCGGACTCCACCGAAAAAGGAGCAAAGAATTGAGCCTCAAACCTCATAGCATAGAGATCAAGAACCCAAGAAGGAGGAAGACCACTCGAACACACAAATATATCTATAGACTTAGGGGGCTGTGATTTGATCTGGTACACAAATGGGCCAGGCCAAGGATCTGGGCCATAGAAGTTTGGTCAACAATAATAGTTTGTTTTAAATTTGAGGCCTCATAATTTTCATTAGCCCAATTAAATTATAAAACGACCTAACAGTAAGTGTCTCTCCCAAATTGGAAAAAACCCATGATGAGCAAATCGCTAAACTAATTTATTGTGGAAACAGCTTACCAAACAAATGCACACAAAGGAAAAACACCATAAAACCAAAAAACATGACGGCTACAACACTGTAAGTTGAAGCGTCGTCAAAACCTCACCGGAAACCCTCAAACTTCATAGAGTGAGAAGCGAAGGGAGACTACCGGAGTCGGGAGATTCACGGAGATAGAAGATAAGAACTCCCAACACGCAACAAGAAAACGGAAGAGAGAGGAGAGAATCAAAGAGAGGGGGATGAGATAATTCGAGTAAGGAGGCGGCGTAGCGTGAGTGTGTAATATTATAGTGATACACTGCTCCTAACGCACACATATATATATTTAAGGTAAATAAAGATTTGACGGTTCAATTTAAAATCCTAGGTCGGATGGCCGTGATTTGATCTCGTAGACTAATGGGCTTGGCCAAGGATCTGGGCCACAGAAGTTGGGCTGATTAGAATAATAATTTGTTTTTAATTTGGGGCTTCATAATTTTCATTGGCCCAAATTATAACACGACCGAACAATTAACTGTCTCTCCCAAAAATGAACCAAAAACCCATGACGAGCAAATCATAGTTTGCTAACCGATCTATTGTGGAAACAACAAACAAAAGAAATTCCCTTAAGGGAAAACCACCAAAAAGAAAAAAACCCAAAAAATCAACGGCAGCAACGCTGCAAGTTGAAGCGTCACCAAAACCTCACCGGAAATCCTCTAACTTCAGAGAGTGAGAAGCAAAGGGAGACTACCAAATTCTCAAGCTTCATAAAGAAAGAAGACAATAACTTAAACATGTAAGGAAAAAACGAAAGAGATGAGGAAAAGACTAAAAAGGGTGGAGAGAGAATCAGATAGAGGGGGAGGAGATAATTCTAGTAGGTTGATGGAGTAGAGTGAGTGTGTTATATTAGAGATCATGATACACGGCGGCTTACACACACATATATATATATATATTTAGGGTTCATAAAGATCTAATGGTTCATATTTGAACCCTGGATTGGACGGCCGTGATTTAATCTCGTTGAGAAACGTGCTGGCCAAAATTTTTGGGTCACAGAAGTTAGGCCGATTACAATAATAATTGTTTTGAATTTGAGACCTCATAATTTTCATTGGCCCAAATTATAACATGGCCGAACAATCAACTGACTCTCCTAAAACCGAACCAAAAACCCATGATGAGCGTATCACAATTTGAAAACACCAAAAAATGCAAAAATGCAACAACAACCACACTGCAAGTTGAAGCATCGCCAAAACCTCACCGGAAACCCGAGAACTTCATAGTGTGAGAAGCGAAGGGAAACCACCGGAGTCTCAATCTTCATGGAGACAAAAGACAAGAACTTCAAGCACGCGAGGATAAAGAAGAAGATAGGGTAAAAAGTAAAAAAGGTGAGGTGAGAAAGGAAGAAAGAGAGTCTGTGTGAGAGAAGTAAAGTGAGTGAATAATGGAGAGAGTGCACACATAACACGACTCTACAACGGTTTACACACACATATATCTATATATATTTAGGGTTAATATAGATCTAATAGTTCAGATTAGAACCCTAAATTGGACGGTTGTGATTTAATCTCGTTGACTAATGGGTCGGGCCAAAGATCTGGGCAACAGAAGTTGGGCCGATTACAATAATAACTAGTTTTGAATTTTAGGACTCATAATTTTCATTGGCCCAAGTTATAACATGGCCGAACAATTAACTTTCTTTCCCAAAACCGAACAAAAAATCCATGAGACGAGCAAATCAAAGTCTTCTAAACCAATCTACTGTGAAAACAACACACAAAACAAATGCACACATGGGAAAAACACCAAAAATCCAAAAAAGCAACAGAAACAACACTGCAAGGTGAAGCATCGCCAAAACCTCACCGGAAACCTCCAACTTCACAGAGTGAAGGCGAAGGGAGACTACCAGAGTCTCAATCTTTATGAGAATAAAAGACAAGAACTCCAAGCCTGCGAGGAAAAAATAGAAGATACGGGAAGAGAGTAAAAAGGGCAAGGAGAGAATGGAAGAGTGTCTGTGTGTGTGTGAGAGAGAAGTGAAATGAGTGAATAATGGATACGGCGCACACATAACACATACTTATAGATGTAAAGTTAATCGTGAATCAATTACTCAGATTCAACCCTTATATCCAATGGAGGGAGTTCAGTCTTAAATGGTCATGGTTGTGCCGGATAAGTGGACAATAGGAATTTAAGCGGAACACAAATTGGTTTTAGATAAAGACCTGACCAATCTCTGGTTCAAATTTCTAACACTGAGTTTCACTGCAAAAAAAAATATACATTAGCAAAGGATTTTTGTAAGGAATTTTATATCCCTCGCAAATACCGATGAATTTTTTTTTTACGAAGAAATTTTGTAAGGGAATTAATTTATTAATTCGTAATTAACAAACATAATTTGCAAGGAATATAAAAATTTCTATCTTTTCATGTTGGACCTTTTCATGTTCCACGGACTTCTCTTTTCTGCAATAAAACTGTGATGGGCTTTAGGTATTTTTATCTATTTTTCCTACTTCTATTCTTTAGATGGAAATAATTTGTAATAATTATTTCCAGGTCATATTATACAGGGATTGGAATCTATCAGATAATGGAGGACTGTACATTGGGACCTTAAAAAGAAGTACATGGTCTTCCAAGTGGTGCAAAAATCAATTTTGTTTCGTGGTAAGACGGAATTCTGGTTTGTTTATCCTTCGTGTGTGTGTGAGCAAAGATAACCTTGCTTTGTAGTCAAATGGAAAATTTCTCATCAGCTGTTCAGTTCTTTGATAGAAGTCGTTTGAATCTATAGTGTTAGGCTTATGTTTTATGTGACAAGACCACGAAGTTGGGGTACTAATGATCTTATTTAACTTAATTTGATGGTTACCAGTTCTAGATTTGAAGTAGGAACCATCATTTAGATATGTTGTTTAGGTGGATGAGGAAACAGTATATGATTTTGAAAAAAATGTATTGCATCTAGCTTCCTCCTGCTGCTTCTGTTTAGACACGACGCTTAGAATGAGTTGGTGTTATATACATGTTTTTCGCTTTCTTGCCTGGAGTATGAATTCAAAATTTTTATTCAGTCTTCACAATATTTTGTACAGCATTCTTACTATAAAGGGCAACTCTTGATCATCCTTTTAACTCATTTTTTCTGCTACTGTAAGGTCAAATGATGGCAGCTATCTGGCCTTTGGTGTTCGAGCTGATGAGGTATTTTCTTTTAATTTGTTGTTTTGTTATAATCAATGAATACTTAGCCGCATCTTTCATTTTGCTGCCAAATCCCTTTATTACCAAGGATATCGCAGATGTAAGAATTTATTTATTTAGTCAAATGACCGACAAAATTATCTGAAATTGGTTGGGCAAATATCTCCAAATTAAGTGGGAATATGACTGATTTATTTTATTTTATCTTTTTAATTTTTCCCTACATAAGTACTATGTTTCACTTAGAAAATTTCCCATATTTACTTTATTTTCCATGCCCACTTGTAGGGAACCCTTGAACTGGAGGATGCCAGCCTATAAGATTGTGGATAGCAGATGTTGAGACTGGTAAAGCAAGACCCTTTTTCAGGCCCCAGACATTTTTATAAATGCAGTTTTTGAAAAGTATGCTCCTGTACCTCTACATAGCATTGCTAGAGATTCTTCTCTGGATTTTAAACTAATGAACAGAAGGAGGTCATTCAAACAAGAACATTTCAAGATCTTCTCAAAGATGATGTGCCTTATGACTATGTTATAACTTTATAAGAGTTAATCTTATTTATATTTTCTCATAATTCTGAACTATATTTAAGATTTCTGATAATGTACTTTTAATTGTAGATGTCGCAAGGATCCAATGAAGAGCAACGAAGCCAGAACATCCGCCGTCTGGCAAGGTCACAAATGTTGTTGTGGCAGGCGGAAACGCAAGAGGAGCAACATGAGCCGAGTTTTTCTGAGACCCAAGTAGGAGAAGGGTCAGGTAAGAAAGACATAACAATTTCAATATCTTTAAAGTTGTGCAAATATAAATAAAATTCATAACTATTCATTATGCAGGTACGTCTGCAGATGCTACATAGGCCGAGAATACACAGGATACCACATCACGTAAGTAAATTTTATGAGAATGCTATAGTTAATTCTTTTTTTAGATTACATGAAGTTCTTATTTGAACAGATATTGGAGATTCTCAAGGGGATATTGCTGTTGGAGACGACCCATGTGTCGAAGTGAGAGTCGAGTCGGGTGGGAGGTTTGTTTTTGTCTAAGATCTTTTTGCTAGCATTCAAATTGGTATTGTACTATTAGTTTAAAATGTATAAAACTTACAGCATCTTCTGGCCACGTGATGCTTTGATTAAGTTCCGAGATGTTTTCAAATCAAAATTAGTGAAGGAAGGAACAAGTGGCTCTCCGTACCGAAAGATACACGCCGGTGGTATACGACTGAGATGAAGGGTATGCCAACTAATTATGTGAATTCTTAACATACTAATTTAGATTCACTTCCATTTCTTCTAACATTTTTGTATTGTGTATTCTAATCAATGCAGAAGTACATCAGGTGGGATCCGGCTCATGAGGAAAAGGTCTTAAAGAAACTCAATACTAGGGCACAAGAGGCCTATAACAAGTGGATGAGTGATATTCGAGGTGGGCGGGATATACTAGGGCATTGGAGATGGAATTTATTTTGTATTACATGGTGCTTACTATTTGGATGGTTAAAATGATTTCTTATAATGTTAGTTTGTGCTTGTTTGAGACATGTGTAAGAATTTAAAATGAATATATTGTTAGTTTGTAATTATTTTGGAAGCATAGGAATTTTAAATGAACTAGTGATGATAATTTGTAAAATGATTTTCGATGGATATTTGGGAAGGAATGAATTCCCTTGCAAATTTTGAATCAATTTGCGATGGATATTTGCGAAGGAATGAACTTCCTCGAAAATTTTGAATCAATTTGCGATGGATATTTGCGAAGGAATGAACTCCATCGCAAATTTCGAATCAATTTGTGAAGGAAAACTATATCTTCGCAAAATTCTTTCGCAAACATTTGCGAAGGAATCGATGCTTCGCTAAATTTCCTCACAAACATTTGCGAGGGAATTTTTCCTCGGATCCAAATTAGCGAGCAGGTGTATAGCGATGACATGTATTCCTTCGCAACTTCCCTCGCTAACATGTTTTGCGAAGGAAATAATTTGATTTGCGAGGTAATTTTTCCCTCGCAAATCAAGAGTTTCTTTGTAGTGTTTGTTTTATTTTTTGAGTTTGAGGTATTTTTTAGGTAAGATTTAGAATTGTGTCAATAACATGAAATCAGTAATAATAATAATATTAATAATAAACTAAAATTATTTTACTTCATTGTACATTTTAATTATCAATTTTTGGTCCCATTGAAAAGATTTTATCCATTTGGTTCTCATTCAAACTAAAATTTTTCATTTATAATCTCATGGTAGCTGACACAGACTGAGAACCGCCGTGTTGACTTGAACATGGACATGTTGGACTACACAAAAATGTGACTAAGCTCCACAGATAGCCAACACAGTTGTGTTCGATTATTTAGAAACGTGACTAAGCTCCACAAGCAGCCAACACGACTGTATTAAATTTAACACGGGTGTGTTCATTACCTTGCTCTGAAATGGCCATATTTTTTAATATGGTCATGTTCATGTTCTGTACACAGTCATGTTTCTGCTTATGTTCATGATATTGTTCTTAACATACATAGTCATGTTGTAGACCATGTTCACATCCCTATTTTGAATATATGGCCAGCACAACCATATTCCGTTCGTGTCAATTACATAAGAGTAAAATTGATAATTTTTTAATTTAAATAGGACCAAAATTGATAAAAAGAATAATAATAATAAATAACTAAATAAATTCATTTGGACTGATATTGATAATTGTGATATACAATAGGATCAAAAATAATTTTTGCTCAAAAAATAAAATTTTATATTGAATTGTTAACTTTTTTGTTATATAGTAGATGGAGTATATTACTTATTTTATGTAAATATATATATATATATATTGTATTTGTTATAATATTGACTGAGAAGGTTGTCCGTAAAATTTGTTGGAAGAACCCATCATTACTAACTATATATACTAACAAAATAACAATTAGTAACAATGGGCAAATTTGAAAATAAACTCGTGGCTTTGAAAACTAATAAGCTAGTGAAAATAAATCATATACGTACCAAATTAAAAAAAAAAAATGTTCACTTAGTTTCTGTTCGTGTATTTTGAATTTTTTTTTTTTTTTGAGGTTTATATTATTTTTATGTAAAATAGTTACAAGATTCGGTGTTTTACATGAAAATTAATGTTTAATGTGATATTTTTGTGAGAAGAATGGTTGATTTTTTTATTATATTAAAAAAAGTCATAAACTCTATCCATAAATATTAACACCTATTTTTTCTTGCAAAATTTTATATCCAACCTGCAAAAACGTAAAACAAAATAGTTCACCCCAAGAGAGTGAATATAATACCAAAAGAATAAATATTCATACTTTCCTTGACGCGTCTATATATATATATTTATTTGTGTGTATTAATTTATTAATATTTGTTTAAATTCAAATACGAAAAAATGAAAATATACATTTGAATAGCAAATAAATTTACAAACATTGAATTTTATTACTCAATACAAATCTCCTATCAGTTTTTGTGACAATCATACTACGGAAATAGAGGAAACTCATTCGGATCACTACCAAGAAAAATTTCTATTTTTCTCCGAAAATTATCTTGGAAAAAAACCTTAAGATAATCTTGTATCATGGAATCTTTCTTCAAGACAAAATAATATCTCGACTATGGTTTAAGACATCACTACAAAAGAGAATAAAACAAAACAAAACAAAGCAAAACAAAAATGTCCATTATCTCGAAAGTTATTTAGTGACGATCTATTATTAGGAATTACCTCAAAATCAATCGCAAAAAAAAAATTCCACGAGTATCATCTGTCTCAAAACGAGTCACAAAAATAATCGGAGAATATGAATTGCCTCAAAATTTATTTTTCCGACTTTAACCATGCTCCTTCCTCCGCCTGTTGTGTCTGCCTCGATCTTGCATCGAGGATTCCATCCTACTAATTTGAATTTAGGACCGCAACTCAGTTGCTCCCGGCTAATGAAAGCTCACGGGCTTGTGCCATCGACTCTTGAGGTTGATTTTTTGCCACGAAAGCATGTTATGTTCTTTTGTAGGTTTTAACACAGATTTTTTACTATTCAGATTACTTTTTGCCCTCTAAAAATATCAAATCAAACAATTACTTTTCTTTTTTATATTATATTATAAGTGTATTTTACATTGAATTCTTTAGCAACATTATTTCACAATCTTCTTGGTCATTTTGCCACAATAAAAAAGTATTAGCACTCCTCTTAGATTTTGCGGCTATATTTGAAGCAGATTCACGCGACTTTGAGTGGGAGATCTACAACTTGGTTCTCGGTGGCCAGTGAAAGCCCACAGGCTTGTGCCATCGACCCTTGGGAGTATTGTTCACCACCAAACTATAGATTGGAATGGCGAAAAATACCTTACCACACTACAAAAAAAATGACCATTTGTAGCGGAATCTTATCCGCTACAATTGTTTTGTTACAAAAGCTATTTTTTGTTTAAAATATTTTCGTAACAAATAGTTTTTTTTGTTTAGTCAACCTTTTCTTTTGTTGCGATATTTTTTCGTTACAACTACAATAATTTTAAATCTAAAAATAAAATTAAATCTCTAATAATCTAAAATAATATATCATATATACATATATAATATTTATATATTAATATATACAAGTTAAAATTTAAAAAAATATATTTATTTAAAATTAAAACTAGTATATACAATTATATACATACGCACAGAGCGACTATACCGATGCCGCCGCACGAATTCTCTTCGCCGACGACCGCGCAGCCTGCACACAGCCACCGCCGGCAAGAAGGTTTCGCACGCTTTGGTGAATCTTGTTCGAGGTATTATTCTGATTATCGAGGTTTCACACGCTTTGGTGAATCTTGTTCGAGGTATTATTCTAATTATTCCTAAATCGTGAATCAATCTTTCTCGATTTTTTTGGTATCGAGTATGTCGACGGAAGAAGAGGAGAACACAACGGAACTTAAAATCCCCGATGGTACTTCTTTTCTTATTCAATTTTTGAAGGTTTTGGAATTAATCTAATTGTGGACTCTGGGTTTCTGATTTTTTGTGCTTTTCTTCAATAACTAAATACCTGTGCATAGCTTTTGTCTGGTATTGTATGATTGGTTTTGATCTCGGCGTGGTGAATAGTGACCCCTCATGAAATATATGTCTTCATTCAATTATTTTTGTAGCTTTCTTTGTGGTTTTTACATTGTAAAGCTTAACCCTAGGAATAGAGCTGACAGAAGAAAAGAATACTATTTGGTTAAGGTGTAGACAAAGTTTGAATCAATGAAGAAAAAGTCTAGCTGTGACTATCATACAATACCAATTCGACCAATCGGCAACTTAATGATGCGAAACTCTTCAATTTAATCATTTGATTCTTTCTACTGCTCAAAGTTTAATAAATTAATTAAGGTTTCTTTTAGGGGAACCTTAATCAACCATTGCAATAATTGTCTTTTTCTTCGAATTATTGTCCCACACTCAACTATAAAATTTGTCCATTACTATTTTTTTTCTCTAGTGGCATTTATATAAGATAATAATAGGAAATGGAAAATGTTGCAAAGTTCACTTAAATCTTAGTCATTTATTAATTAACCCACTTCTCTTTTTTATTTTTATAATCCAAATGAGATTCTTATTCAATACCAATTTCATATTTCGGTCAATGAATTTAACCCCAAGAACTATCGGTGTTTTTACACATGGGTTTATTATTGTAATAACTTATAATGTTGTTTGGTGTCTTTTTTTTTTTTTTCTACAGATTTTTCAATCTTCTTGTCTGAGTGAGATCAGACTGTTGACTCCATATATAGCTAATATATATGTATGATTTTCATTATTTCACTTTAAATTCTTGCACTTCAATCTAACTTATCTGACCTTTAATATATATATGTATTAAGTGGGTTTGTTGAAACTTAACCAAACAAACAGAGCCTTGTCCAGGAAGCTTAAGTCACTGAACTGCAGCCACTCACTTCGGTTATTGTTACTTGTTACTCATCCACATATCTTTCTTATCTTTGAATTGAGTTTATTAATTAATTCGTTTGCACATAATTAGATACGCTGATATGCACACATTGTGTGTGTGAATTGTGATAATCTATCTACATCTGTAACTCTTGTGTAATTGTGTGTGCATCTTTATCCATGCACCACCACTTTGTTTGATGTTGAGTTATAGCAGTTGTGGCTGCTCCTCAATGTAACTATCATGGCTATCTATGTATCTATTTATTATATGTCGAATTTTTTAATAATAATAATAATAATAATAATAATAATAATACATATGTTACTTCTTATTTTCCCGGTGTCATCACAGTGCCAGCTCACCATTCTTCAATAATACTTACTAATAGATTATAGATACATATGTATAAATGAATGAATGAATCAGAGATGAGAAATAAGAATAAAGTATTAATATTACATGTTATGGTGTTGGATCTTGTTCATTGTATCTTAATTTTGAGATCCAAGCAAGTTCAACTTCAAATGCAAGTGCAAGTGCAAGTGGTTCATTGTGTATATAAACTAATAATAATAATAATAATAATAATAATAATAATATCTGCCAAGGTGGAAGAAATGTCAAGTGAGTGAGTGAGTGAATCAATCATAGTGTTGCTAAAAGTAGTTAGAAATTCTCACGGAATCAATAATAATGTAGAGTTGTTTACAATAATCCAATGAATTATGATTGATGTGGATGGTCATATCTAGTCTTGTCTTGTCTTATCTTCAAGGTAAGTTTCTTCTGCATATTTAAGTTCACTGCACACATCCGATGTTGCAAACAGGTTGCGTAATTTAATCATTATACTAATGTCTTTCATGCATGCATAGTTTAACCAGGCCAAATTTGATTGATGTTTTTATTCCAGGTTGTGTATGGCTATTATAGATTAATATATATATATTTAAATGACTGTGCCCTAGTTATGTCATTAGAACATTCCTTTAAAGTACATTGGCTCCACGGTTTTGGAATCAAATTGTAGATTTGTTGCTTCTTTAAATTTTTTTGTTCTTAGTTAATCAAAAGTACTTTCCATGAATAAGAGAGAAATTGAGGTGCGTAATCTATTTAGGTGAGTCTGTGTAATGTTGTGCAAGAGTGTATCATTTTATCTTGTGATCATTGTTTTCTCAACCACGGTGTTGTATGTTTATTTGAGTGTTATCTCATCAAAATAATAGAACATCGTTGTTATAAAAGGTTTAATAAAGAATCTGATCAAAGTTTCAAATAAAATTGATGTTAGATGCTTTGTTTACTACATCAATAGTTAGAGAAATGGAGCTTTTAACGTTTTTTCTCCGCTTAAACAAATTTCAGGTATTGGTTGAAGGCGGAGGTAGTTCGAGAACCACAATTCTGAATATGCCACATTATCTTAATGCTCTTAACAACACTATGGTGGTAATATTGTATCCATCTATAATATGCTGAAAGAAGATAGAATTATATTTTTCTTGTCTATTATATGGGTACACACAACCCTGTATGGACATATGTAATATGTGATACATTGAAAACTATTGCATCACTGCCTCTATGACATTTCTATGGTCCATCTCCGGAAGTTAAGTCCTACATGTTTGTCTAGAGTACCCATCATCACTCATTGCTCCACTTATTTCTCATGTTTTTGGTTTATTCAGTATTGCAATTTTGTTTGATAGCTGGATTATTCAGCTAATGAATGTGTCAGTGTGGTTTCTCTTATATGCACTATAGTCAAAGGCTCTATTTCGGTAGGATGTAGTTACTTTTGGTTAATTGTTTTATGCCAAAACTTTTGGGTTTGATAATAAAGAGAGGTCATAACTTCTAAGTGAAAATAATTTTGCTGCATATTTGTCTGCTGTCCTTGCCTCTTCTCTTATTCATCCAATCAATCTTGCAAACAATATTATAGGTTATGTTTTCGATTCATACAAGAAGCTAGAGACTTGCAAGCATTTTTTTGAGAATATATCATTTTATATACTTTATTTGTGGTATGCGGTTGAAGCCATATGTGAGCATCATTTAGCTCATGATTGTTTTGTATATGTATTAATGTTGGAGTATCGATCATCCTCTTTAAGATTATGAAATTTTGTGAGTTGCATTTTGTTTCCGATGATAAGCACGTGTTTTTTTATATATACGTAGGTGATCCCATTGACATAGTGAAGTTTTTTGTCACGGCTGCTACAGTTTTGAAGGCCATGCTCAATCTACAAACGGCATCTCAAGCGCAAACACTGAGGTTGTCCACGTCAAGCCAATCGACTGGACATTCAAAGATGTACGTAACTATTTTGTTAACTTTCTATTAGATTATAACTTAACCATCTTGCAAGTAAATTCTTATATAATCTTGTATTATGTTGGCAGCTCGTTCGTCACCCGTAACTGCCGTATATGTTCACACTTAATGCTGTATGGGACGATGCAACGTTGAACATATTTCTATGATGATTAACTTTTGTTTGTGGGTTGATACTAACTGAGTTATTTTTGTTTGTTGAACTTGCATATTCTGGTTCTTTTTGTGTGTTTGTTGCTATGCTTTGCCCTTGGATTGTATTTGTTTGCCGTATTGCAAAATAATTATGTTCCTAAAGAGTGCATTCTTTGTGCAACTGATGGTGATATAGATTTGCTATATTACTTTTATATTTTGTAATATTTTCTTGCATCGTACAGGTTTTTTTGGTTCCGATACTAATTTATTTGTTATTACTGAAAAAATAAGGATACTCTTTTTGTTGCGAAATTGTGGCCGTTACAAATACCGGTACAAAAAATATGAATGTCGTTTAAAATAGTTTACTGACAATCAGCTTATTGTAACAAAAATTATACCATAACAAAATTCGTTACAAATGCATGAACATTTATTGTAACGATTCTTTTATTACGATAAATGTCCGCTACCAATAAATTGAAAATACATTGCTTCCGTTACAAAAACTGTTACAAAAAGATTTTTCACGCGCGTTGACCACCCACTTTTTGTTACGGAGAATGTCGGTACAGAGACTTTTTGTAACTCGAGTATATGCACCGGTCAAAATCCGGTACAAAATCGTTACAAATAGCTTTTTATAACGAAAAATGCCCATTTGTAACAGTTTTAAAGCCGCTACAAATGATCATTTTTTTTGTAGTGCCACTTCGTAATCTTCTTCGTCATTTTGCCACAATAGAAAGGCGTCTTACCCGTTGCGACTATATTTGAAGCATAATCACCATTTTCCACTGTTGTGGCCTCGATGGCGACATTTGATTCCGACGTTGAGTGGTGATGCAACAGATGCTTGAGAAGAGATCTTTGTGACCCAAAGAGTTGATTGCAAAGAAGACAACACCACTCCTTTTTTTTACAAAATTTAAAATAATGTATACGATTACGATTTGTTTATGGTAAAACAAAACCAAAAAAAACCATAGCATCTTATTAATTTTTTTTGTCGGTTCTTTTTTGTTTTTGTTTTTGTTTAATAATGCACAAAACTATATTCGTATACAAAATTTAAATTTTGCAAAAAAATGGAGTGGTGTTGGCCTCTTTGCAATCGATTGTTGGGGTCACGAAGATCCCTCCTTAAACATCTTTTGCATCGCCACTCAGAGTCGAAAGCAAATGCAACTATACAGGCCCCGACAATAGAAAACGATGGATATGCTTCCACTAAAAAAATAATAAAATATTAAAGGACTTTTTTCTCTCGTAAACAAGGTTACAAATCTAGCAATCTGACTTTGCAAGGGAATTAGGGGGAATTACTATCCCTAGCTAAAAGTCACTCGTAATTGAACATACGATTGTCTTATTTCCCTTGCAACCATGTTGCGAGAAATTCAAGGAGAGATAAAATCTCTCACAAACATAGTAAACAGCGGCTAAGAGGTGGCAAAAAGACGAAGAAAATTGAAGCACAACAGTTGTAGGTCATTGGTCGTCATTCCAAATAGACGGAATGTGAATCGTTAGATATAATTTTGTATGAAAAATAAATATTAAATATGATGTATCGAAAAATAATAATAATACTATAAAATAAGTGAAAACTACAAAGTTCAAATAGATAAAAAATTTGTAGGAGTAAGAGCAATGGATGTCTATAGTTCTGGTTATGGCTGATATTTATACTATCAGTTTTTGAATTTTAAATCGAAAAAAATTTTAATGAATCAGATTTCTAATATTTTTTATTTGATTTTTAAGAATATAATTGGAAAGTTCAATTTTTATTAGGCAGGTATATTTGATATTTTTTACTTTATTAAATTTGGGATAGACACAATATTTACATATTTTTTATTTGATTTTTAAAATAATTGGAAAGCATCATTTTTGTTTGGTAAGTATATTTAAATTTACATGTTTTATTTGGAAAGTGGAGTTATTTTAAAAACTTACTTTTTAAGATTTTATATTTTATTTGGTGAGTTGATTTTTAAATTTCTAACTTTTTACATGGTAAGTGTATTATATGTGTATTTTACTTTTATAAATTTCATAGTATTCATTAGTAAATTGATAAGTGCATAAATTTTCCTTTTCACTTGCTTTACAATTTTTTTTTTTTTTTTTTTTTTTTTACTTTCCAAATTTCTAACTATTGCATAATAGTACGTATGCATATATATATATATATATTTTTTTTTCACTTTCTAAATTTGTAACTTCTATATGGTAAGTATATAATCATATTTCACTTATTTTGGATAAATTATATAACTCTCACTTGTGTTTTTAGTAAAAATGCACAGAACAGTGTTTTATTTATTGAGTGAAACCATTTGTTAAAATTTTGAGTTTGCACAAAATACACTTTTTGTCCAAAGCAGTTTTTGGTTCTAAATAAATGCAATTACGTAAATTATACAAAAAAAATGTTGACCAAAGCAAGAAAAAAAATTTGTCAAGACAAATTTTGTAACAAAAACCACCCATTGTTTCGGAACTATTGTTACCGATAAGATATATGTTGTAAATAGGTCATTTTATATTTTCAAGTAGTGCCATTGGTTCCAATTAAGACAAGGGGCTATTTGTTTCGAATTTTGAAAAGGAAATTATGTTTATTTCTTTTTTGATATTCCTTTCTATTGATCCATGGTGCTTTTTCGACATGTAAGTGAAACTCTTTTTTTTTTTTTTTTGACGTGGGAACCCACAGCTGCTACCCGAAAGTGCGCACTGAGTAACTCCCGCCGAACCTAAATGTTGAAATTTTTACTAAGAAAATAAATCCAAAACAATCACACTCATTAAATGTTGAAAATAATGTAATTTCTGAAATAGAAGTAATAAACTACGATGGATTAATAACAAATTGATTAAAAACATAGAGATTAATTCATATATATGAATTACAAGTACTTTTGAATATCTTATAAATTTGGCGGTGGATCCTATGCTTACATACAGTTAGAGTTGTTAAACGAGCCGAGCGAGCTCGAGTATTGGTTGTTCAAGCTCGAGTCGAACTTCTTAATGGTACAGGCTCAGCTCGGCTCGGCTCGTTAAGAGTTCGAGCCAAAATAGTGCCTCGAGCTCGGCTCGTTAACCTCAAATTCAAGCTCAAGCTCGGTTCGAATTTTATATATATTATATATACTTTTTAATATATAAATAAAATTTTAATTTTATTCATAATTTTTTAATAAAATATTTAAATTTTAATAATAAATATAAATTTTGATATATTGGGTTAATTCTCCTAAAATCTCCAATTCCTAAATCATTTTCTTTGTCAGTCCCTATTCATATAATTTTTCCATTTAGCTCCCTATATATTCCACATCACTCCCTATTTGTAAAAAATGGTTTGTGTTATTAAAAGCAATGGTTGAGGTGCAGGGAATCCCGTGCCTCTCGCATGCGAAGCGAGCGCTCTACCATATGAGGTACACCCCCTTGCATTAATAAAAAATTTAGAATTGTTTATCTTACCGCTACCATTTGGCATTTCTATTCAGACCATATTTATTCTGTGAAGTTGATGATTTCATGTTGTAGAACCTTGTTGAAATCAATAGCAAATCTTTTAAGATGCGTGGAGAGTTGAGTGACCATTGATTTGGATTCATACATCTTACTCTTTAAATTGCAAATTAGAAGCTTATGTATCTGTAGCTATTAAGTTCTAGTTCTTTGTAGTGAATCAGAAGTGAATAACCTGAATTTATTAGTCAGAACAACAAAGTATGTTTTCTTAGTTTACGTGCAACTATGTCTCGAAATATCAATAATATATTTCTTCTCTGCCTCTGCCATGTTGACCTGAAGGGTGAGGAAGACAAAATTGTCTATTATTCACATCTTAGCTAATGGTAGCTTAACTATATATTCATCATCGATAGGGTTTACTCTTTCGGTCTCAAAAAGTATATATATTCCTCTTGTTCACCAAATGTATGCTTGTTTTTCTTTTTCCTATTTATTTGTCTAAAAAAATGTATTTTTGCTTATAATAAATAATTCTTATATACTCGATAATTTATACGTTTCAACATTATATATTTTTTTACAAATATGCAACAACTTACATACTAAGTTATGTAAAAAAAATTCTAAAATATTTGTACAATACTTTATTTCACAATTAACCAATATAATATTATATTTATAAAAAACTGGTGTGTATCTAAAATGAGTATGAATTCCAGGAATGGAGAAAGTATATAAAAAGAAAACAAATCCATTACTTTTATTTGTTGAGGATGGCAACTTTTTGGCAAGATGAAATTTATGAACTCTATTGATTCATCACACTTATTTTAAAAAATATATATTATTACAATATTTTCAAAATATAATTAATGAATAAGTTCTTGGCCATATGATCAGCTTACTTAACAAATTTGAACAAATCACAAGTGAGCTTGACCCATGTCAACCCTTTCAATTATTGATAAATGACAACCGTTTCTGGCGGGGATTAAAAGAAATTTCATAGATAATGGGTGGGTGGGTTTCGATGCTCAGTGACTTATGTTTATATTTGCAGACAAGTCCCGGATTTTATATCATTTCCATGATGCCTTCTTTATGTGTGAAGAATAATGCGAAATTTTGTTGCTTAACTTTGAGTGTGGAAATTAGAATATGCTGTTCTTTTCTATAAACATATGGATAAAGGATCAGATATTATATGCTGAGTTCCATTATTACTTATGAACTCAGTTTTCGATCCCTCTTGATTAGTGTATTTTAGAGTGTCTGTAGTTTGATTTTCTGTATGTTTTCATTTATTTCAATAGTATTGGATAGCTATTTACCCTATTATATATGTGATTAACATAAAATTTTATAGACAGCATGATGAATAAATACAATCTAAGGTATGGTTCTAAGTTTTTTAGCCTATAGGTTATTTAGGCGTAGACTCAAGTTTTAGAATATATATTGATTTAATGGTCACTTTTTTGTGAATAAAAATTTGAAACATAATGTATTCTTTCTTCCTCAAAGTACATAAATCTTGAAAAAAAAAAAAGAAAACACAAATCCTCATTCTTCTCTCATATCAAAAGAATTCAATGTTCGAGAATAATTACATAAATGACAATTCACATGTGTCCAAAAACGGTTATATGGGTTGTGAGAAATGATTAATCCCAACTTCAAAAAATATTACACAAAATTGATAAGTGAAAATATTGGATATAATGAAAGCACAACCAATAAATAATTTATACAAAGAATATTTTCACAGAAAGCATTTAATAACCCATATATCAAAACCGTAAAATTTAAGGAGACACAAGCAAGAAAATGCTGAAATTCCTTGAGTCCCAAGTTAAAAAAGTGGAAGCTACCATAAGATCACGATAGTTGTACAAATGGCATATAGCATTATGCTTGTGATGATACCTTTCTCAATTTAAATTTTAAGGCCACGAACTTGTAATAAAATCTGCAACATTTTCAAAACTATATATTGTTAATTAATCGTTATCAAACAATAATCAAAAGCAACCTTCGACAATAGATAGAGATGACAATGGGTCGGGTACACAGGCGGCTCTTAGCACGAGCAGGGTAAGCAACTTCTCAAGGCCCTAGTGAAAAAATCTTCTTCGGGGCATGCATACTTCAGCGTTTGTTTGGTTTCACTACCAAAAAAAAGGGGCTTTCATTACGGAAGGAAGATTCATAACAATATCGTCGTAATAAAAAGTGGTTTTCGTTACGAATTTTATCGTGACAAAAGTAATTTTTATTAGTCAACGTCTTTTTTTAGTTATTACGATAAATGTTTCGTAACAAATACAAATATGACAAAAAAATTTTGTAAATACAATAAGTACGACTTTATTCTGTAACAAATGGAAATGTATTTTTATAATTTTTTAATAAAAATTAAAAATTAAAAAAATAATCAAACTCCAAATATTGAAAATAATTTATAACAAATTGAATGTAAAATAAATATAAATAAAAATTTATATTTAATTAATTATATATATAAAATTTATTACAATATATAATAAATAAGTAAAAACATATTGCACTTCCTACGAGCCGCCCTCCCTCTCTATTGAAAATGTATTTTTAACAAATTGAATGTAAAATAAATATAAATAAAGATTTATTATTAATTAATTATATTTATAAAGGGTGCGTTTCTTTGGGGTTGATTTGGGTAGATTTGGTTTGAATTGGGATTGAATTTGAAATTTTTGATACTTTTGGAAAGTTGCGTTCCTTTGGCTCAGTAGGTTTTGTTTGAGTTTGAAGAGTTTGGATAGATAATGATTTGATACGTAATAATTTAATTAAAATAAATAAATTGAATTTTTTTATTAATATTAACATTATTTTAATTATAAAAATATTAATTTAATTATTTCTCTTACAAAAAACATTAAAAAAAAAAAGAAAAAACATCTTTTACAAAAATGAAACCCTTGCGCCGGCAGCCGCAGTCCCTCTCCTGGTCGTTTTCTTCTTCCTCTCCCTTCTTCCTTTTTCTTATTCCTCTCACTTCTTCCTTTCCTCTCCTTTTCCCTTTTTTTTTCTTTCTCCCATAATCTTTTTTTCTTTTTTCTTAACGTACCTGCCCGATTCACTGCACCTTCCAAAAAGCGTTGCCGGTATCGCTGCTTACTGTTAGTAACCCTCGCGTTCGTTGACGAACAAAATACCCCTCTAGGTTAAAAATCGATAATGTGATAACATTTTTCTCATATTTGTATACAATTGATTTTTCTTCCGTTTGCAGTTTCATCTGCCATGGTCGCTGGTCGATTTCTCCCTGCCGCAGCGTCCCGTTGAAGCAAGGGCTTTTGGAACACGTCTCCGGCGTCAACCCATGAGGTAGGTGGTTTCTCTACCTTCTCCCTTCTCTTATTTCTTCTTGTCCTGCTTTCCTTCCTCGCCATGCCTTCGTCGGTGATTTTTGTTTATTCTATTTTGTGTTTCCATTCCATTTGTTCATTGCTTGTTGTTGGGGTTGGTTTTTCAGCCACAACAACCAATGGCCGATAAGTTTGAAAGATTTGTAATATTTTACATTGTAGAATGTCCTCTAGGTTTGATTTTGAAGCTCCTTCTGTTAGATTTAAAATATGCTTTTGTATATTTTTACACACTGAGTCATATATTTGGAAGTCTGATTTTTTGTTAGAAGCAAACTCTGGTATTGCGTGATCCACCGTGTTGGTGATGTGTTTGTAAGACAGATACTGAAAATTCATTTACCCAGCAAAGTGCAACAATTTTGAATTTTTTACATTGTTAATTGTAATTGTATACAATTGTGCCAAGTGAATTTATTGATTAAGTCAAGTGTGATGTTTTGTGCTGTTTGGTTTATGGAATTTGGGCATCCTACACTATGATATATATAGGCGAAATTCCAATGGTGTATGGTTTTGTTTCAATTTTTATGAAGATATGACGGCTTCTCTGTTTGTGTGATTGTATTGCATTTCAGTCATCTATAAGGCTGCTTTTTAGAATATCTGGGAAAGGGTGCTTGTGTTGTGGATTTTTTGGATTTGAAATTTTTCGAATGGAAAAAGGTTTTTTGGATATTATGTCTTGAATAGAAAATAGGTGTCGGATGTGATAATTAACTAAAGGGAAGAGGATTATTTTAGTATAGATTATATGATGCAACAAGATTTTTTTTAAAAAAAAAGAAACCAAAGTGCACACAGAAGCAAAGTTAATAAATACACTATATGATTTGATGGTTTTGTGAATTTTATTTATTTATTTATTTATTTATTGGTGTACCCTCCTAAGACTTTCACTCATTTTATCTTTTCATCCTGCAATAATTGCAATGAAGTACAAAAATGATCTACCAACACTATCCAATATAGAGTGCTTCTTTCCAAAACAACTTTGAATTATGTTATTATGTGTGGATATTTAAGTAAGTTTCATTGGATTCTACAGCATAATATATACGGATTCAGATGCATATATTGTTAGATAATGATACATACATATGCTGCATAATATTAATATGATATCATATCTACACTCTAAGTATTGGCTCCTTTGTCGGAAGCAACACCATTCTTTTGGTTACGTGGTTGTATGCGTCGATTTGTCGGAAGCAACACCAGTTGTGCTATTTTTACTGAAAATGAGTGCATATTTAACTTGTGTTTTTTTTACAGGATACTAAATTGTGGAGACAAAGGCGTGCAGTGTGAATTCAGGATAAGCAGACTTGAGTTTAACGGAAGGTCGGATTTCTTTTTAATTCTATGTTTTCTCGAGTGGTGGTGTAGTTAAGTGTTGTGTGCATTCCCATATACCTGAAATATTCTTTGGACATCAGATTTGAGGATTTTTTTCATATTCGTACAAAAGGGCAAGGAAAAATTTAGAATAGTTAGAAATTTTTCTTGACACAAGTAGGGTATGGATAATGCTTGCTGCTCTAGTATCTAGAGATGACGCGCAGAATTTTTGGCGGAGCTTAGAAATCATTCAATTCTCATTAAATGGCATCCCTAAAAGGTTCTAAAGTGGAGATAATGGGTGATTTTAAACCATGGGCCTTAATGTTGTGATGAATGTTATGTTTTAGTTATAAGTGCAATACATGGACTTATTGGTACAAAAATGCGGTTTATTAAAGCTGAAGCTATAACTTTGTTCTTTTAAATTGAGGGTGCACGCCCGTATCAAGAATTAAACAGTACAAGTTTGAATGCATGTTTTGTTGATGGAATCACATGTACATTGCCTTTTTAGATGGATAGGAGTTGGATAGACGATACCAACCATAACTCGGCTCAATATTTGGATGGGGTCAGGGCTTTCTTAGATTTTGCGTTTAAAGATAGGAACTCTGATGCTTCCATCTATTGTCCCTGTACGTCCTGTGGCAATCGCATAACAAAATCTCGTAGTGATATCTTGCTTCATTGTATTCGCTATGGATTCGACCAATGCTACAAGGTCTGGACTTGTCATGGGCAAGGAGAGGTGAACTATGCGCTGCAGAAGACAATGTTCCAATGCGTTGGGAGGATTAACTAGATCTTCTGTTGCAAGAGTGCGTAACCGCTGAGGACACCGGGCCGGGGCCCAGTAACACCGAACCTCTTAATGATAAGGAGGATGACCATATACATCGTGACATAAGGGGTACAGAAAAATGTTAGAAGATGTAGAGAAGAAGCTTATACCAGGGTGCAAAAAAATGAGTAGACTCTCGTTTATCGCTCGCTTTTTGCACTTGAAGGTTTTGTGCCACTGGTTTAATAAATCTATTGACTTGTTGTTAGAGTTGTTAAGGGATGCAGACAATGTTGTCCTCCCGAAGAACTTCTATGAGGCTAACATGATCACGAAGGACTTGGGGTTCACATGTAAGACTATCCATGGATGCATCAACAATTGCATGTTGTTTATTGGGGAAGATGTTCACCGTGATGTTTGTATTGTGTGTGGGGAAAAAAGATTGGGTAAAGATAGATCTCCTTTGAAGAAGTTGGGGTACTTTCCATTGATTCCCCATTGATTCCAAAATTGCATCATCTATGCGATGGCATGCCGAAGGGCATGTCGATGATGACAAGATGCGTCACCCAGCAGATACTCCTGCGTGGAAGGGGTTTGATCATCGGTACCCCACGTTTGCTGAGGATATTCGCAACGTATGCCTTAGGCTGGCCACCAACGGTTTCAACCCCTTTGGAAATATGAGCGTTAGGTACAGCATTTGGCCCGTAGTACTTGTGATATATAATCTACCACCATGGCTATGCATGAAGCAACCACCGTTCATCCTTTCTACAATTATAGATGCTCCGCAAGGCCCGGGGGATCGCATCGACGTCTTCCTTCAACCTTTGATGGATGAGTTGAAGGAGCTTTGGTATGACGGTGTTTGGATATACGATGCAAGAAGCAAGGAGGACTTCCAAATGCGAGCTGCGTTGCTGTGGACCATCAGTAATTTTCCAGGTTATGGTATGTTATCAGGGTGGCCAACTCGTGGGGCGAATGCATGTCCTGTTTGTGGTATGAAAACTTATTCCAGGTATCTAAAAAATGCCCACAAATATAGCTACTGTGGGCATCGAAGGTTCCTACCGAGTGGGCATAGAATGCACTATGATAAGCATGCATTTGACGGTATGATGGACTTTGAGACAAAGCCGTCTCGCTTGACTTCCAATGAACTGCTCCAGCATCTTCAGGATGTGCGAACTGAGTACCGTAAGGTTGATCTTATTCAGAAGCTTGTTGCATAGAGATCCCGAAAGCGTATCCGGGAGGTTGTGAACCAACGTACATGGAAAAAAAAGAGCATTCTGTTCGAGCTCTCTTATTGGGCCGAGAACGAAATACGTCACAACCTCGATTTGTTGCACATTGAAAAGAATGTGTGTGAAAATGTATTGTATACATTGTTGGGGAGTAAAGGAAAAACAAACGATAATCTCAACACAAGGAAAGACTTGCAGTTACTGCAAATACGCACTGCTTTGCACCCGGTCTCTGGCCTGAAGGGTTCTATATACTTGTCTGCTGCTATGTACACTATAAGTAACCCTGAAAAACGAAACTTCCTATCTGTGTTGAAGGATCTACAACCACCTTATGGATTCAGTTCGAACTTATCGCGTCGTGTTAGGGTACAACAACAACTATGGGGTCTTAAGAGCCACGACTGCCACATTCTTATGCAATGACTTCTTCCATTGCAGCCCGACGGTATACCCTTGTAAAAAAATTATATTTGATAACCCAAGTCACGCTTCGTCTTAACATAATTAAAGGTGCCACTTCATCACTTCTTATAGGTGTCTTCCCAAGAATGTTGTGCTCGTGTTGATTGAACCTTGTAACTTCTTCAATTCTGTGTGCTCAACTAGCAACACAGTTCGTGAGCTGGAGCGAATACAAAAAAGAGTTTCATTGACATTATGTCACCTTGAAAAGCTATTCCCACCTTCATTCTTCGATGTGATGGAGCATCTGCCAATCCACTTGGCTGAGGAGGCAATGGTCAACGGTCCAGTGCAGTACCGGTGGATGTATCCGATTGAGAGGTACCTTAGTACTCTGAAGAGGTACGTACAGAATCGGGCCCAACTTGAGGGTTCTATTGCACGTGGATACCTTATGGAAGAGTGCGTGACCTTCTGCTCAAGATATCTTGGGGACATAGAGACCAAAGAGAACAGGGGTGTTCAAGGTGATGAAGAAGGCACACAACACAAGAAAGGATTATTTGGTTCTAGGTTTAACCTTGATTACAATACGATGCGTCAGATTCATGGTTACATCCTAGGAAATTTAGATGCAATAAGTCCGATACGAAGGTTACTTCACCTCAACTTCACAATACTTGTATGCATTCTTTATTGATGTTCAATATATTCCAATTCCCTTTTTGCATTGTAGGATTCACGTTGATAGTATTAGGTCCTGTCGAGGTCGCGCACCTCCACGTGAGGTGCAACGCCAACACAACGAACAATTTGCGTCATGGTTTCATCATACGTGAGTATCCTTTACCAGTAACCCTACACGGGAACGCCCCAAAAACAATATTGAAACCATGAATCTGAACATCAACTACTTTACATCAAATGTAGGTAGATGATCCAACGCATAACGATGTTTGCCCAATCTCGGATTGGATTACGTGCATTGGCCCGTGGACCATCGAGTAGTGCAACACGGTACTCTTCGTGCATTGTTTCTGGAGTACGTTATCGGGTTAAATATCGGGATGCGGGAAAGAGGACACAATGTGCAGGTGTTATGGTTATAGCAGATACAGTAAGTTACGCCTCTGCTAGGGACCATAACCCACGAGAAGGTTCCGTGGCATATTACGGGATTGTTATAGACATTGTAGAGGTGTATTATGACAATCTACAGAAGTACCTTCTTTTAAAATGTGATTGGGTGGATCCGGAGAGAGGTGTTAAAGTAGATGAGTTCAAGTACAAGCTTGTGAACTTCAATCATCTGATGTACCCGAAGAACTTGCCCACTGATGAGCCATTTGTCCTGGCAACCCAAGCCAATCAAGTTTGGTACATTGCAAAGCCGGTTCAGGAGGACTGGAGTGTTGTTGTTCCGGTGACTCGTCGGGACACATATGATGTGTATAGTACAATCGATCATAGATTCAGTAATAGGTTCGCTTTAAATGACGGAGGCAACGCCAGAGAAGCTGCCGACTATTGGCTAAGGGAAGACGTTGAGGGCCAGCTTCTTGATGGAACAACCCAGATTGACAATGTAGAGATTTCAGCTCGGCGTTCGGAGGAAACCTCCGAAGATGAATATGCTTAGTGGTGAAGGAAGATAGCGGGCATTTTTGACTGTTTGTAAATATTGCTTAGTGAACGCCCCCATTTTGACAGTAGGACAAAAACACTTCCTTTTTGAGCTCCAGGGTCAGAATAAATTTCACATCTCAACATATGGTACTTTTTTCGTAAGGGTGTATTAGTTCAAGTACGCCTAAGGTAACAACTTTGCGTGAATCGTCTCGTTTTATCAACGCTGTTTTCTATCGTTGTATGTTCTTCGTCAGCTACATGCATTGTTTGTTTTATTATGTTGTGACTTTTTTGTTGTTTCGGACAACTCCCTAATGCTTATATGTTGCAAGTTATGGCAAAAACTCAACGAGTTGCCGTGGAGGGTCCCAAGATCCGACTGGCTCGCCTGTAGGACGTGTTACCTAGGCATCCGCACGCAATAGCCCAGTAGATGGAACTAATGTAGCTAGCAGGAACCCATCACCTGTGCGGAAAACTGCAAAAAAAATGACAAAACGAAAGGGAACGCGGGTCTCACCATTGTTCCAGCAAGTTCGCTCCATCACATCAGAGTGGGAGAAAGAGGGCAATATTCATGCTTCCACCAAATCAACGACATCATCCGCTCGGCGGGCAGTGCTTCAGGATTCGTAGGGGCCTGCAGAGGTAATGCTGTTCTTTTGCGTCACTTGGTTCTTATCTGTCATTGACAAAAGTCCGTAATGTGCTGACAGTATTAAACCCAACAGGAACATAATGGTAGGGATATCCCAGCTTCCCTTGAGCCAAATGCAGCCATGCAGGATGAGAATGAGACAATACCCCCCACATAAGTAGATGACGAAACAATCCCACCGACGCAAGACATGGAGACTGTGGAGAGTGATATGCCGTTCCTGGGTGGGGAATTGGGGCCCGGCCTTATGGCCATGGAAGACACAGAGGCGGGCGATATGGAACACTTGGATGGGATAACATCATATGGCGGTTTGGAAATCATCATTGACAGTTTATATCTTGCATTAACTAAAGACGAAAGTGGTACACACGCTCCTTGTAATAACATGTAATATCTTTTTTCTATTAGTTGGTCCCTCAAAGAAGAAACAGGGAAGGGGGCAGCGAGAATGCCACATGGATGGGGAAATGATCACAAGATGCTTGTATTTACATCGCCGGATGGCAAAAGCATTGTTGGACCTGATGTAAATGAGTACAAGACCGCTTTTAGGATGATTGCGCGCAATGGAGCTCGACTTCCTCTGCATTACCCGATGTTGCCGAAATACCGGAGACAAAGAGACTGGGTGCATGGATGGAGGTTCAGGTGATGTAACCTTCGTTAATTAAAAATTCCTTCGATTTTTTTAGAGTTCTATTTACTCTCATACTATCTTGTCTGGACAGGGCGATAACCACGCCACATGTCCTACCAGAGCAACAGCGGATTACCAAACTCAGCAGAGAAAGTGGTCTTGGCTGAGTTACGGGAGGTTTGGAGGCATTGGAAATAGAGCATCAAATCAACTTACTTCAACCCAATCCAGGATGACAATGAAGCACTGAAGAAGGTTCCTTCAAGCCGGATTGTGGCCGATCAATGACCGAAGTTGGTCGGGTATTGGCAGGACGAAAAAGTTAAGGTATGGAATAGAGACGAACAATAATTTGAATATTATATTGGCAGTCTTATTTGAGATATATATAATTCGTATATATGTAGCTTCAATCCAAGAAAAATGCATCTAACGTATAGAAAAGAAGTTTCCCACATCGTACTGGGCGGAAGTCCTTCACGACTCTCGCTGAGGAGGTACCTTTTATTACAATTAAGAAATCAGTCCAAATTTCTTTGTTTCTATGATATGCTCTATCGATACATTTTCCTTTTGTATAGTTGATGGGTTTTTCAATGACACAATGCCTTGTGTTGATGCAGATCAAGGCGAAGGGGAAGGACCCCGACAGCTTAGAGATATGGATATACAGTCGGACACAAGGCAAGGGAACAAACAATCAACAAACCGAAGAGATATTGGTATAATAAATTCATTTCCTACGTTAATACAATTTAGACATTAACTACCTCTATAACTATACGTGCAAGGTTGGCCTCAGTTGATTCTTTTGTTGTAAACATATTTGCAGAATGAGCTAAACAAGATTCCGCCGGAAGGGCAGACTCCGGCTGTTCGGGAGACTCTTTACCAACAGGCTCTTGGGGGAAAGACCAAAAAATGCTCAAAGGTTGACAGTGCCGCCAGTTCAGCTCATCCCCGCAGTGAGGCAACTGGTTTAACAGATACTGTAGCATTCCAGCAAGGGTGGGAAGAAATGCAGAGCGGACTTGCAGAGTTCAAGAAAATGATGGCTGAGTTCAAAACCATCAAGGCTGATGTGTATGCATTCATGCACAGAAACTCCGAAGTAGTTACCCATCTGTAAGTATTCTTAATATTCATACTTTCTTTAATTGCATCCCACTTCTTTGAATGGCTAAAAAATTCACTATGATCCGTTTATTTTTCATAGGCCACAGCTCGTATTGATACGGTCTCTGAGCTTCTTAGGCCCATCTCTGAATCACCTATGACGGTATGATTTTGTGAAACCCTAAAGTTAACAAAGTGTTAACTTTAGGCTAACCTTCATTTCCAACCTGTATGCTTCCAACTCTTCTGCAATCTCTATTGTAGGTTGGCACCCGTGTGCTTATATTATCTCGCACCGGAGAGAAGAAAGTTGTTGCTGAGGGACTTCTGCTCAGCCCCCCTGCACCAGGTTCGTGGCATGGTGCCTTAATTTTATTCTTTTGAATCCTTCAATATGGTGTTCATACCGCATTGTCGATGTTGTGACTGTACAGGTCTCATAGTGCAGTTGATTATGGTTTTATTAAGTATGGGTATCTTTAATTTGACATATGTGGCAGTTAAAGTATTGCGTATATATAGGCTGTTATTGTAGGGACAGTGGCTATGTTGGTGTAATGCTGATTCTGTGCTGATCTTATTTTTTTCATTGTTGACATGACATTGTTTATGGCTATGATGTTATTATACTATTTAGGCGCACACTACAGTCCCAACACTGATGAATGGATGCTGTATTATTGAGTATTTGTGTAGTCCCGACCTGCACACAATAGGTTTTTATGTGATGAAGATCACTAACTCATCTGTGGGGGTCTGCTTATATTTAGCGCATAAATGATAATTAATCTCCAATGGCATGATACTACAACACATACATGGAGCAGCCCGGGTTTGGGGGTAACTGTAAGGAATTACTAATTATTGAAATTATTATTTTAATATTGTACATGATCAACTGCTTTACATAGGTTTTATTTGTGGATGGCTGGTTTATAGTTCGAGTTGCAAACGAATTGAAAATTAGAAAGTAGTGTACTTTGGTGCCTAATTAATGGGTCAAATATCATGTATCAGAGTAAATGTCCGAATGTACATACTCGTGGTATATAAGTTGGGAAATATACACTTCAAATAATTTATGACATGTTTTACGTACAGTTTAATGTGTTGATATATACGGTAAACTACATACTTTTAAATTGCTCTTGTGAATGTTATAGGTGACACACTTTCCCTGGTCAAGGTTTTCGTTACATCCGCCGCAGTCCCGGACACACCCCTTATTTTGCCGACAATTGCTGGCGCGACTACCTTTCGCGAGGTGGTCGGTGAAGATCCTATTGAGTGGAACTATAAGGATGTACGGATCGACTTTCACAACTTTCACGTATGGTTTCGTAAATACAATAATTAATACTTAAACTAAACCTTTTTTTGTTTGTAATTGCAGCTCATGCGCCACCCCTGAAGCATATCGACCGGTTCCTTTATGTTTTATCTCTATTTGCATTATCAATTGCATGTCGTGGATGTGCTTGGATGGTAGGTTCTTATGGCTATGTGAAATACCTATGGAATAGATGCATAGACATTTGGATGTATATTTTGTGTGGTAAGAATTGTTGCTATGGATTGATCGATCTCCCCGCTTGCTTATTACTAGGTTGGATGTTTGAAATGCTTGTGTTTGATGGAACATAATGTCGAAGTGGAGATGTTGCTAGCCTTGTTCAATTGGTTAATTTACTTTGTTGTTTGCTAGATGACATCGACTAGTAAATATTGTTATGTTGATATCCTATGTTGGGATAGTGTTTACTGTTTGCAATTATGGCCGATCGTAATATTTATAGCATGGTTGTATAAGAAAGATCACAGCAGGTTTATTTGTTACGCACAAATTCAACTGTTCCACAACAACTCGTTTTTATGAGACGCTCTATTTTCGTAACAAAAATGAGAAATGACGTAACAAAATGTTTGTTTTGGTGTTTGTTGTTATGACCGGTTCTTTGACCATAAGAATAGGTATTTTTGGTAAGGGTTCAATGACGTAACAAAAAAAAATGACGTAACAAAAAAATAATATGTTGTAACGAAAAGTTGTTTTTCGACGTAACAAATATATAGTGATTTTTTTGTTATGGCCGGACTCGTCACCATAGGAGAATATATTGTTTATTACGGCTTCAATAACGTAACAACAAATCGTAACAATAACCGTACTCTGACAAGGGATCAGGCTAACATGTTTTGGTAATGCGAGGCATTGTTGTAAAAAATATCGTGACTAAAAGACCTGGCACACGCGTGGGAATCTCGACTTTTTATTACGAGGAAAAATTTGTAACAAATACCGTAACAAAAAGCTTGCCATAGGATTTTTCACCAAGAGTAGTAGTTACGAAAATGTGCGTGGCAAAAAACATTCGTTTCGCGAGTACACATTACGGATAAAACGTGTCACTAATGCGTAGCAAATACGCATATTGCACGAAAATTGGCTTTTTGTTACGAATTTCCGGCTGTAGCAGAAAATTGTTTTTTTGGTAGTGATGCTACCGGAAAAACCAATCTATGTTAGAACATATATGATAGGAGCAATCCGAATTAAGTACCCAAATGTCATTACGTAACCCATTTGATAGTGCAAGAAATTTTTTTCACATTCTATATTTTCCTTGGCAAAGCAAACCAAATCATTTGCTGTTGAGGAGTCACTGATACTTTTCTTTCCTTTTAAGTTTTGGACATTTTTCTTTTAAGTGAGCTTCTTCTTTGAAGTAATGACATTAATCCTTACTGACTCTATAAATATGTGCAGATCTACCTCTGTTATACTTGAAACTTGATCCACCTCGAGCAACCAAACCATTAGCTTGGCATCTAGGTCATGTTAGGTTCGACAGTCATTATTTTGGTTTTGGTTACAGAGCAAATTGGTTTTCCTCTGTCGTACTCTATTTTCATTAATTCGAATAAATTCTCTTTCGATAACCCTAAGTCATAACAGAAAACACTTTGCTGGTTTCTCCTCCTACTGTCGACGAAATTCACAAGGTTGTTCTGTCCATGGACAAGGACAACACGGCTGGGCTAGAGTGCTTCTTAGCTCTATTTTACAAATACTGTGGGGATTTTATTCAACAGGATACCCTGCCAAAGAGTTTCATCGGTGACTTCCATTGTGCTCACTCTAACAAGTGATAATCCTTCCACATGGATGGAGTATTGGCCAATTAGCCTACCGCTTGGTTCAGCTCCTCCCTCGGTTCATAATACAGATAAGATTACATACAGTGGTTCAACAACTTGTGTTGGATAAGTATATGAAATCGGTTGCGGACAAGGTGGCATACTAGAAACACCTGAAGTCATATTTACTCTTGTATTCTGTAACACATGAATAGATATGTTTATGCCTGTGAAATCTCAAAGCATACAAGACTTGCTATTTCAAACTGCTTATGAAGTTAAATAGGTACGCAATCAAGTTTATAACGGAGTGATATCAGAAGGTAGACTCAATCTATTATTTGACATAGTAAACTCATTCATTAAATGTGAAATGAAATTTAGATTTTGTAAGTCGTTGAATCCAAAAAAAGGTTGGGAACTAGAAGCCACAAAAGGAAAAATGATATTTTTGAATATGTCAATGAATGAGTAATTCAATAATGAAAGTAGTCGTAAATTTAACACATATTTTCCATTATTGTGAGAACGAACATTATTAGTTGATTTTCATATGCTAGTAGTGATAATTAAAAATTCAGCATTTATTAAACAAGAATTAAGGGCAATTATTTAGTTTTTGTAGTTTTTACTTTGGCTTTTATAATTTATTTAAATGCCTCCTCATTTGCAATTTTAAGAGACATTTAGTTTCTTATTTCCTCTAATTGTAATATCACAGGAACTTTCACAACCAGTGCAACACACGCGTGAGAATAATGAATATCTGATCGTAAAATCTGCAACACTTCCAATAACATAGATTGTTAGTTTTTATCAAACGATTAAGATTAGATCAGAAGTCCTTTCTAATACGATTAAATGTCCTTCATATATAAAAGTACCATTCGACAAAATATAAATTCTTAACTTTATTTGATCGAAATGTATGAATAAATGTATTAAACTTAGTTTTCCATTTAGAAGCCCAAATCTTTTCCATTAACTATTTTAGTTTTATATATTATTTTCAAAACTTCACATCTTTTTGTTAACACAATCAAACACAGCCTCACTGAATGTATGAAATCTAACCTTTACAAAACCCTATACATATATATGTGGTGATTGGTAACCTACTAGATCTTTAACAAGCTGAATCCCCTCCGAAGAAAAAGTTACACAAGCACAAATTCCCATCACAGTAGATCGAATAACACAGACACATCTGAAAACCAGATAAGAAATGAATTCTAAGTAACAAAAAATTACACAAGCAAATGATGTAAAGAAATCCAATTAAGTACCAACAAAATACGAATCTAGAAATTACTGTGAAACTCTGAATCATGTGAAATGCCCAGTAAGTACGCACACAAATTAATTTTTAACTGTATGTGAATATCTATATATATAAATGGAGTTTGGAGAAAATTTCAGATTTTTGATCTAACCTGACAAACTTAGTGTGACAAGGAAGAAAAAATGACAGCTTCTAAAATTTTTAGAAACTTAATAAAATGATTATTTTGCCTTTTGAAATCTAGTAAAATTTGGGACACGATAAAATTTGGTTAATATTAAATTGTATTTATAATTTCCTAAATCTAATTACGTGAATGATAAATATAATTTCAAAAAAAATTATTATATTTATTATTAGTTACCAACTATTTTTTATGGATAGTTTTAAGGATTATGTTCATTAAATCTAAAGAACTTTTAGGGAGTGTTTGGTAAACCGTTTTTTCAAGAGCTTTTAACTTATTGAAGAACTTTTAGCTGTTTGACCAGCAAAGTAGCTAATTTTGGTGTTTGGTAAATTAGCTTTTTCAATTAGCTTATTGGGTCCAAAAAGCTAATTTTGAATAAACCGTATATACCAGCAGTTCAAATTAGCTATTTCATTTTAATTTTTCTTATACCTTATTTGCCCTTAAAATTTTTAATTATTTCACATATATTCCTATATTTTTTTTATTACACTATTTATTAATAATTTAGATATATTTTCTTCTAATAATTTATAAATTCATATTTATAAATTTAAAATAATTATTTTTTATATATATCAATTATCTTATTTATAATTTTTAAAATTTTTTTTTAATAAAGATAATATAAAAATATTAATATTATTGAATCAATTATATAGTATTTTTTAGGGGCAATTGGATTTAAATACCTCTGACATTAAAAACATTTAGTTTCAGTCCCTTCCCATTTTGCACTTACACTGCACTCCATACTTTTTATTTTCAATTGCACTTAACTCCTTAGTGCCCATTTTACCCTTAAGTTTTCTATATAATATAAGAAATATTGTATTTACTTATGTTATTTTTATATAAACTTACATTATCCAATTACGTACTCTAAAATTATCCCGCTATAAGAAGAATAAGTCAGAGTTATGTACCTATACTTTTTATTTATGTACTCAAATTAGTCATAGAATACTAAATTTAAAAGAAAAAAAATAAAATCCTAATATATACTACCATCCGAATCGTTGCTCTCACATTTCTTCCAAACTCTTCCCGTCATATGTTTTCTCTCGCCGTCGAAGTCCTCTCCAAAGAAATCGTCGCTGATCCTCCCCGCAGGAATTTCTTTTGCCATCAGAAGTCTCCATGGAGGCTACTTACCATTTTAATACAACAGACTACATCGGTGGAAGAATGTGGCAATAAAGTTGGGGCAGAATTGCCAAAGGACTCGTCAATTGTGCATGGTGTTACTGCGCGACTTGACTGAAAAAGAAAAAAAAGATCCGGAATTCATTTCTTCTCCAGGATTAAAACAAAAGAAAGGGAAAGCAACAAGGCAAGGAGAGGATAAAAGCAAAAACGATGATCAAACAATCAAGGTTGGTGAAACATTCATACGTTAAAATTTTGTGTGCTTTGATTAACATATTTTGTATGTCTATTATTTTTTCATGTACCTTAGTTTCTAGCTGGTAATTTTTATCGGAACAAATTATATGCCTGGATATACAATGTGTGTGCTTCGATTGACAACTTATGTAACTGTAGGTTGGTGATGGTGAAATGGGCCACAAATAGACCTTTGTTGCCGATTCTTCGAAATGGGAATTGTATCGAAGGTCTATTAATTATTGTGGGAGTGGATGCATTTCGAAAGAGGAGACAAAAATGATAGGCAACTTTCTTGCAAAATTTTGATATACAGTAGATACTAGCTTGTGCTTTATATGGATAATTTTCAAATATGTTAAACACTCTAACAAGTTGGTGTTTGTAGGGCGGCTGTATAGAACCATGGACTAGTATACGTAACATCCAAATCAGTGATCAATCTGTTATTTGACGATGCTATCCATGGTGAGATTATGGATGCGTACTTACAATGGCTCTACAGTCAAGAATTTAGGCACCAACATGGGGTGATAACGCGATGTGGTTTCGTTCATTCATTTGTCGACTGTGGCCTCATGGTATGCATGTAGGCTGAGAGCTATGCTCTAAATGATACCAACCGTTATCCACTGGGTGGCTGGGCAGCCGAATTCAACGATGTTAAGGCCTATAGGGCAAAAATTGTTGCACGCATTTTAT